TACCCTGTATATTACAACATTTTTTGAGATTCCAGGATCGGTTTTTATGTCACAACTTTCCTCCAAAATGTTTCCATCATGTAAGTTCATGTTCCATGACGAAAGTCTTTGTGGGTTTAGCAATCATACCCAGAAAATGGTATAAATCTCATGTTTCATTATTCAAATATGACTATTTTAGTTAACCAACCGCCTCTATAGCCAAAGCGCTAAAAATATCAAAGAACTGAAGAAATAAATGATGAAATAATTGAAAATAATATAAGCTTTTGTTAGTAGTGATGTACTGTACTAAGCTGTTCCTATTTTTTTTTTTGCTAATTTGACCAAGCGCCGTAACCAACGCAGACCAAATCGCATCCGATCCATATTTATAAGGGGTCACCTGTGATCTGCATCAAAAGTTTGATTTCTCAAATTCCATGAATACTGATATTTTTTTAGTCTTTCTTTTCGAAATTGAGGCCAACTTCATCCATTGTTGTTAAATCGCATTTTTCTTGATTCGATTACATATTTTTTCATAAAAGTACTTGAAAATAAAGAATGAAGATTATAAAATTAAACTTATTAAAACACAACACTGCAATGGACAAATTCTATTTCGATTTCAATAAAAACTGTTACTCCTAGAAAATAATCACAGAATTACCTACCGTACTACAAACACGTATTTATAAAATTAAAAACTAAAGTAACTATAATAAAATGAGGCATCACGTATTATATGTATAGTGCACCGAAACTAGGTTAATCTCCAAAGGTCATTGACACTGAGATTCACAAACTATACATAATGCTTTAAAAAAATTGTAACAAAAGTATTTTAACTAAAATCTTGAAACAATTTTTAAAATTATTACATTTGTATCAGATTAGTTAGTAATTTTAATTATTTTCTATTTTGCATATTTTAAAAAACAAAAATAATTCATTTTAAATCGTTTGTTTCACTTACATTAGTAAAGCATGCCTATCCACCACCAATATTAGTTAATATTCAATAGAGCATGCAAAAAATATTAATTAAAAGAATTTTATAGACTTATACTTTATCAAAAAAGTCATGCATTTAAAGAAACTTGAATCAAATTCAAGACTTCCAGGAGATAAGATACAATAGCGGTAAGCTATTTTCAACTATCCTCTTTCTATATTTTTTGCTCATTCATACAGACCACTCTTTTAGAATAACCCTGGCGATATTGTAAATGAAACAAATATTATTTTTGCTGGTATTTCTTTATTGTCACGTTTGTATTATGTTATATCAAGTTAAAATTTTGTTCATTTTCCTCCCATTCCTCCCATGCTTCCTCCCCCACTTCCTCCCATGCTTCCGCCCATGCTTCCACCCATGCTGCCTCCTGAGCTTCCTCCCATGCTTCCTGTGGCATCCATTCCCCCGCTTCCTCCCATTTGTCCTCCGCCGGAACCTCCAAACTGTCCTTGTCCTTGCCCTTGAGCGAATGCCTTATTTTCAGCCTGAAAAAAAAATGCATTCAATTTTTATCAAAGTTGAAAACTTGAAATGTTATTGTTATAAAAAAAATAATCTATAAAGGGTGAACAAATTGCTTTTATGTTTAAATCCAAAAAGAAAATGTACACTTCGTCGAATTTTCAGTGATTTGTATAAAAATATACATACCATTACAGCAACGATGAACAAAACGGCGAAAACAAATTTCATTTTGAAGTGTCTAAGTTTGTATGTACTGCGTTGACTGTGTACTGACCATTACTTCTAATACTTTGTGTTTATATACTGAATTCATTACAAAAAAAATGCAACAAATTTTGTACAGCGGCTATTTTAATGCACTTAAATTATTGCAATTTTCAAGTAATTATACTCATTTTTTTAAATAATAATAATAATAATAAATCGTCTTTATTAGAAGCAGATAATGCATATATAAAAATGAAGAAATAGAAAAAAATAAAGGGAACAATTCATGGCGAAGTCTAACAAAAGCTATTCACACTCAACTATAAATGTATGCGATAGCATGTAATTTCAAATTACATAAAAAACAACAGACAATCGCTCAGAAAAGAATCAATAACACAATTAAAATAAAATGCAATTACCTAACAATAATCAACAGTTTAAAATAAAAATCCTCAACTGTAAACTATAAAATCAGCTGTCCACTCAATAGATATGATTTAAATTTATACTTGAATTTGTTAATATTAAAAATTTTAAAATTATCAGGAAGAGAATTGTATAAAGGGATAGAATTAAAAGTAAAACATCTTTTCAATAGGGCACTACGATGATGTGGCATTGTAAAGGTATTTTTAAATCGGATATTCCTCGAATGAACATTAGGACATTTAACAAATTTAGTTTTTAAAGAATAATAAGGAGGAATGGTTAAAATTGTATGCATAAAATTGACAAGATGGTGACGTCGACGATTCTCCATGTTGAGCCACTTGATCTCTACAATTTTGTGAAAAATATGATCAAATTTTCTTAATCCATGTACAAGTCGACAACATGAATTTTGAACTTTTTGAATTCTATTTTTTTCTTGTACACTAAGGCATGGACCATAGACATAATCACTGTAATTAAAATAGGAGAGAACAAGTGACTCACATAACATAATTTTTAAGTTTTTTATTCAAGATATGACGACTACTATAAATTAATCTAAGCGAAGAATAAGATTTTTGGAGAAATGTTTTCACATGCTGATTGAATCGTAAGTTACTGTCAAGCAAGAGTCACTCCCAGATTTTTTACGCTGTCAGTAATAGGAATTGAAATACAATCAATTATAATATTAAAGTTGAGTCTTAATATTTGTACCATTTTCTTAGTATCAAAAAAATTATTTTTGATTTGCTAGAATTTAATTTTAAATTATGTTCATCAGATTACTTACTACTTACAGTTTGTAACTCATTAATATCAAAATGATAATATAGTTGAGTATCATCAGCATAAGCTTGTACTTTACATTGTTGAATTGATTCTAAAATGGAAGCAGTGTAAATTATAAAAAGTAAGGGACCCAAAATTGACTCCTGGGGTACACCAGAAAGTATTTCTATACTATTAGATAAAATGTTATTAACACATACCTCTTGAGATCTTCCATGTAAATAAGAATTAATAAGATTTAAAGTCGGTTCATCAAACCCATAGTACTTAAGTTTAGAACAAAGAAGCTTATGATTAATTGTGTCAAAAGCTTTAGAAAAGTCCAATAAAACTAAAGCACTAACTAGTCCCCTGTCCTGTGCTTTTATTAAATCATCAGTGACGATAATTAGAGCAGTTGAGGTACTATACCCTTTCCTGAAGCCACATTGCGATTGAGGTAAGAGACTATTATTTACAAAATGACTATAGTGTTAATGTCATAGATGCATACCGAGATTCCTTCCCAGACTAAGGCAGTATACATATACAGGGTAATTATCTCGTACTTGAAGATATTGGTACTGGATGGAGTAAATGTGAAAGTATAAAAAACAACTTGTTTTTTTACGATATTATACACTTTAGAAACATTTCGCCGATATTCTTCTTTTATTCAACTTTTATTTTGAGCGGAAATTATTATCGCTAGTACTTATTTTTATCTAACCTTGTATATTTAGTTACATTGGATGGAATTTTTACAAATCCAGTGATAATATGTCATCGATAAAACAGAAATATTCAACCAAAAGCTCAGCTTCAGTTCAGTTAAATTATGAGTAAAAAATATAAAAACCAATATTTTTCCATGATTTTAAACAAACTTCCAGTGAAAATGTAGTCCATCTGAAAGATCGTTAAATTTTGAGTAATTTTTGTAATATAAAGTTTATTTCTTTTTATTTACTTGTTTTCGAAATATGTCGACTTCAATATGCAATGTACGATGTAACAGGAAAATCTATTATTTTATTTAAATCACACTGAGACAAAATATTCTTTTAAAATATTTTTATAATGACTTTATTCATACCACATACTAATTAATAAACATGCATTTCCACATTCCAAGGATCAAAAAATTTGTTAGTATCGCCACACCATCTATACAGAAAGATTTGAACTAACAATTCCAACTGCAATTTGAAGCTATTCGAGGGACCTAACAACCCCAGTTTCCGGAACTAAAATAAATTTCTTCATTTCGGAGATATTAGCAGCGGGAGTGTTAAATGGTACACCCTGTATATATACAGTATTACATACAGTGTGTCCAATTAAGTCGGCACCATGTGGGAAACTTTTTTATTATTGGTTTTATGAAAAAAAGTTATTCTTGATAAAAAGTTTTGCATGGCCTAAAACCCAACAAGAAGTGATCAGATTTCAATTTTTTGCAGTCGTATACGAGGTTTAACGAAATATGTAAATTTTGCTCAAGAATAAGGTACCTTTATTTTTTACATCTACAGTCGTTATTAAGAAAAGTTTATCCCAATAGAAAGCTACTGTACAATATTATCCATGTATCTACCATTAAAAACAATCTTTACAACAAGTACTTAAATTATAATTTAATTTTGCAAATCATAAAACATTTATTGTATTGAATTCATCGGTTTGTTAGAGCATCCTAGATTTATTGTCGATATCTAGACGTAAATTATCTATGTTAATACAAAGAAGAGTTTGTAAAAATAACAAAATTTGGTTTTTAATGGTAGATGGATGATATTGGATATGTAGTTGTACGCATTATAATTAAGACTTCCTATACAGACACGAGAGAGTGCGTATTCTTGCCATTTTACTGTGTTCCATGTGCATTTAAAGAAGCTACTATTAAATTTAAAATATCCAGAAAATAAAATGCAATAGTGGTAAGCCATTTTCAACTATCGTCTTTCTATATTTTTTTGCGCATTCGTACAGTCCAGTCTTTTTGAATAACCCTACCGATATGGCAACCTACGTTATGTTAAATGAAACAAATATTGGTTTTTGCTGGTACTTATTTATTGTCACATTTGTATTATGTTGTATCAAGTTAAAATTTTCTTTATTTTCCTCCCATTCCTCCCATGCTTCCTCCCCCACTTCCTCCCATGCTTCCTCCCATGCTTCCACCCATGCTTCCACCCATGTTTCCTCCCATGCTTCCCGTGGCATCCATTCCTCCGCTTCCTCCCATTTGTCCTCCGCCTGATCCTCCCATTTGTCCTTCACCCTGACCTTGCCCTTGTCCTTGAGCGAAAGCCTTATTTTCAGCCTGAAAAAAAATATATATATTCAATTTTTGTCAAAGTTGAAAACTTAAAATGTCATTGTTATAAAAAATAGTACAATTTTATGAATTTATAAAGAGTGAATAAATTGCTTGTTTTAATAAAAAAAAAATTAAACTTTTGAATTTGCAGTGATTTGCATAAAAATATTCTTTTTAATCAGGATTATGTACCATTACAGCAACGATGAACAAAACGGCGAAAACAAATTTCATTTTGAAGTATCTAAGTTTGTATGTACTGCGTTGATTGTGTACTATTACTTCTAATACTTTGGATTTATATACTGAGTTGATTACAAAAAAAATGCAACAAATTTTGTACGCGGCGGCTACTTTAATGCACTTAAATTATTGCAATTTTCAAATAATTATACCCATTTGTTACATTAAGCCTAACCTGACGTAACATTTATTTAATGACACTTTTTTTTTTAAATGACCATAGTGGTAATACTTACCGCGATTCCAAGCCAGACTAAGACAGTATATACAGGGAGACCCATAATTATATCTTCATTGTAATTCCCTTCCTGTATTTGAAGATATTTACGTGTTTTTTTTAAACAAAACGATCATCCCATTTAACACCACGTATCCTAAATTTTATTTAAATTTTTTACATCCTCACAGTAGGCCCATACAGATTGAGTTTGAGACAGCCTGT